ACGGTGTTTCCATCTGATGTTCACCTAGGGGTCAGCAAACCAACGCAGGGACAAATCATCCTTAAACAGCATGTTTTAGATGGTTACCCTGATCCTCAAAAGCAAATCCAATCAGACTTCATTACAGCAGGAGAACCGGACGACACCATCAACTACTCTGGTTCTCCCTAAACCCAGAAAACCTTCTGAAGCAAACTCGGTGCTTGTCCTGCTTGCTCAGTATCTCACACGCAGCGTTTTCCACCAGCCTCTTCACTCTGTGTTTTAAGGAGAGCTTGACCCAGATCCCACACAACCCCACCCCTGCCATAACGCCCTGTGGCTGACAAATTATTCCAGCAATTTAAGTAGCCCAACAAAAAAAGTTAACTTTTTTTTAGCTTTGCTGCTACAACCACCAGCAGAGCTGCAAGTAAAAATTTAAACTGGAAAGAGAAATGACACCTCTCTGCTGTACCTTCTCCCTGCCTTTTACACTTTGTTTTATCTTATAGGGTAGGAATAAGTAACAAATCCTGAGATTATCAGCCCCTTTCAAAAACAGGCAACTTTCACAAAAATAGGAGCAAGTTATCACCCTGCTTCACCACCACAGACCCTATAAAGGTTCGTTTCGTATGTCATCTAAAATGTAAACACCTTTAAAAGCCCACCAATTCCCAGTCACGCTTCCCAAACCAGCACCATACTACTAACGCCGTGACCCGGCTGTTGAAGAGGCGCTATTGAAGATTTTCACTACTGACTGCACGGTTTGATAGGCAACGCTTTCAGCAGGTTGCGCTTTACTGTTTACAGCCACCAGGTCAGACATCTGAACGAGGCCGGCAAGAGTTTCCAGTCGGGGGTCAACTAAAGCAGCCCCAGCAGGCGTTGTTCTAAAAGTCAAACTCATAACTGGGGCAGCCCACAAATGTCGTTGCTTGGCATGCTTCAGTGAAGCACAGAGCATCTCGCTTTAAAGTTTATCACCTTTCCTTATTTTTGTAATGACTTAAACCTAAAATTTATGAGAGCAGAGCAGGCTACCTCCTCTCCCCTCCTCTGACCCCAGCCTGAACCCTGCTAGATCTTGCGATGATGGGAACACCGATGTTCCTCTTCACATATAGATATGCTCTGCTTTGGAGGGAAAGGGGAGTCCAACGGGGAAGATTAATGGCTTATTTGCCTTCTAAATCGAATCACGTTTACCCCACTCGAGAGCTATCCGTAAACCTCATTTCCCAAAGTTTCATGCCGAGGGTTGCAGTGTCAACCAGCGGTACCATCTCCTTGCTGAATCGCACAGACGCGCTACGAATCGAAACGCAAGTACAACAGACCGCAGGAATGGCAGAAAATTGTTTGGGTCAAATCAGCTTTGAGAGGAATAATAAAAACAGGTTTTGCTGAGCAGCTTTTTACTAAAAATAGCATCAGATTTCAAGAAGAATTATGTAATGCTTCTATAAAGGCAAATACCGCTGGGAACAGTGTCATTACAGGTAACAGGGATCGGTAAAGCACTAGCAGTAACGACACAGCCCAGTCCTCGGTACAAGGAGCGGGTTTTTTCCCCCCTTCCCATCAACAACCCACCAAATCGACAATAGCTGATTCCATTTTAGACCTGGTGTATACTGCAGACTATATATTTCATAAAAGTTTTTCATATGAAATAGCCTTGAACAGAGCAATCATGACATGATACAGCTGAAAATGAAATGGCACAAAAGAGCATCTGGATTGTAAAAGGACAAACACTTAGGGAATCGGCTGCTGGAGCTAGCTGGAATAAGAGGATCAGAAACTTGAATGTGGAGGAAGCCTGTGATTTCTTTCAGACAGCAATGCCAAAACTCCAAAGAAGCAACGCCAAAACTCCAAAGCATTCCAAAGAATAAGCACTCCAAGGAGAAAAAAAGTAGTAGTCTTCCAGACTCATTAGGAGACATGTTAGAAGTAAGCAGAGGAGGAATGGAAAGAAAATAAAAGACTAGAGTAAAACTATAATTCAAAATTGCTTCAAAACATTGTGTCAGTCACATTAAAAGCAAACATTAGAAAAACGTTTTCCTGCCATACAAAGAAGAAACCTCACTTCACAGAGAGGCTGGGTTACAAACCAAGGCTAGTCTAAAATTATGCTTGGGAAATTAAGGAACAGAATTGCACGTAAATTCAACAGCAAAGATTACATGATCATACAGGCGAACGTTTTCACAAAGATTTTCACTGTCAGACCCAACTTCATCAGCTGGAAAAAATATAAAGGAAAGCCATGAATTAGAGATAACATACAACTAAATCACAGGAAGCTTCAGAAGAGATTTTTCTAGTAGAAATGAAAGCAGTACTAATGTACAAGGTAGCAAAGAGAAATTACCTAAGAATACTACACAATACTCTCTGGGAACCTAAGAAATGTCCTTCTGTCTGTCCCGGCAAAAGCCCGTTGCTCTGGTCTCCCTTCAGCCTCACACTGTCTCCTTGTACCGTGCTCAGCGCTGGCTGCATCTTAGACTCTTCCATTTCACTCTTCAAACCCATCATCCAGATGCTTTTTTCTCCTGGGCACACTAATGCTCATCTTCCCAACCCCTCCGACAACTCCACCTGACCCATTCATTTTCTTTATAAAGGAATATAAAGGATGAAACGGCCTCAAGTTGTGCCGGGGAGGTTTAGGTTGGGTATTAGGAAGAATTCCTTCCCCGAAAGGGCAGTCAGGCCCTGGCACAGGCTGCCCAGGGAAGTGGTGGAGTCCCCATCCCTGGAGGGATTTAAAAGCCGGGGAGATGCGGTGCTGAGGGACATGGGTTACTGGTGGCCTTCGCAGTGATAGGTTAAGGGTTGGACTCGATGATCTTAAAGGTCTTTTCCAACCTAAACAATTCGATGAATATAAAGAAGAGAAACAAGTACCAGCCTTCACACCACCCTGAGGTGTAAGAAGCCCGGTTCCAGTGCGTGACCAAAAGCCGTCGATGTCAGGCTCCAAGGGGGTTGCTTGCAGTAAGAGCGAACAGCCCTTATTGCAGACGGGGCTTGTACAGAAGCCAAAATTATTCTCCTATGGATTTAAATAGGCTTCCATATGGGTTTGGGGGAAGGGGGTTTATATGTGGGCAGATTTTTTGGTTTTGTATGTTTGTTTGTAAGTATTGCAGAGAATTTAACTCAGAGGCTCGCCTTCCGCTGGGAGCAGGGTTAAAGTTCTCCTCCCTTCTCCATGTCCAGCACTTATCGTAAGGTTGAAGTTCATGATGCAAATAAATTTGATGAAAAACTGTTCGGATATAAAGAAAATCACTTGTTTATTTGGTAAGATATAAGAATGGTTTCAAGATAAAATTTAAGGAGATTGGGGGAAGGGACAGAGCAAAAAAATGAAAATCCCTCTAAGTATTACAACACTTTTGAAACCAGTCCTTTGACTCTTCTTTTGGAATGAGTTTCCTGTGGGAGTCCACTTTTTCCCCATGAACGAAAACAAAAAGCTAACCAAATTTTGATTTAAGTCAAAATAATTTATCCTGGGTTCAGGCACTAAACACAGAAAACCAGACACTTACACAATTCTAATCCGTACTTCTATCATCTGTAAGAAACAAATTTAGGGTTTAAAGCAAGATAAATAAAACAAATACCAATTACAATGAGAACCAACCTCACACAAAGCCATTAGCCAATTGCCTTACAATAAACACCAATAAAATCCTGATTTCAAGCGAACTACTATAACCAGTACTAACATACTTAAGGTATACACAGTATATTCACACTCATTCTTGATGTAAAAAGCAGTTATCATAAATTTGCACCTTCCTCAGATACCAGAGAGCGGATGAACACAGTATGAAACCCTGAACAGAATTCAAAAAACCCTACCGAGTCTTAGAGCAGCTCTCCTGTGTGCACTTCAAAATCAACGCGTGAACTTCACGGCTCGGTCATCTTAGGTGCTGTGCGCTCTGGACCAAACCAGGCTTAACCTTCATCACTAACATCAAGGTCACACGTTTGGCTGTACCACAGGATGAACCTAGAGACCCTCCAGGGCTCAGTCCTCAACAGTTACAACCAGGTTTTTTGAACCATCAGTCCTGCAGAACTGGGGACAAAAAAATGGATTCTTTCCTGGTTCGAGTACCAACCAAAGGCTTGCCGCTTCCCAGTCAGTATTCTGCTGAGTCCACCCCAGTGCACTTACACCAAATAAGCAGCACTGCTGCAGATCACCCATACTTTAAGGAAGAAAAGCCATCTCACCTGATCACACGTGCGCAACATAACGCTATTCAGCTTCTTGCTCTTTACCTTCCTCGTGTGTCATACTACTCTAAATGCCATTTCTAACACTCATATTCACACTCCATTGCTCCAATATTCTCACTCCATCCCTTGAATTTCTTCAAAACTTGCCGCTACCCTCAAATTCCTGTATTTTGAATGTTGTTTGGTTTTTTTTTTCTTTCATTCCAGTCTACAGGTCCAGGATCCACAAGCCACACATCAAGTAACAATGTCGCTTCACCTCATCCAGATCTTTTTTTAGAAGCTACTTTAAATTTCACCTTGGTACTAGCAGGTTTTCAGCACCTTGCACATGTATTTTGTCTTGTATCACATTCCCATGGAATTAAACACAAAGGTCTAGACAAGATGAGGTGGTTGTTTTTAAAAACATTTATATTCATTGCATCCCAAAATATCATCAATGCATTGTAACTTTTATTTATATATATACACATACACAAAGCAACAGTGCACATAGACACAGCTTAGCTTTTGCAACAATAACAACATATTACTCCCCAAAAGATAGTTTAGCAATGTAATTCATTGAAGTACCATTGAAATAATCGATACACTTCTGTAATCCACACTTCAAAAGATTTCTATTAAAACAGAATTTGCTAGGAAGTTTGGGTGGACTTTCAAAGAGGATAGCACGGACAGAAATATTTATTTAAAAAAGCACAAAAAACCCAAACAAAACAGAAAATTTAGCCTACCGAATATGTTGGTGGAATGTCCTTTCCGGGCTATTGGTTTGAGCTCATTATGTCCCCATCCATATTGCCTATAATTGTCCCAGGCATGCTTCATCATCTAAGAAATGGAAAAAACAGGATTCAATTACATTATAAAACTACCTTGTACAAATACAATATTTTACTCCTTATTCGAGACTCCATCTTTCATAGTCATCCCAGCACACTGATAATTACTTTGCCACTATTTCTATCTGTTACAGAAATGGGATTATACAGCACGAATAAACTTGGAAACAGCTTCAAGTCTATTTGACTTGAGCTATACAGCTTAATGCGCTGCGTTAGGTCGTTTTCTTGTTCTTCCTTTCTTTTCCTGAAATATATGTGCAGACATGTAAGAATTTAAGCATAAGGAATGCATTTAAGCATAAGGAATTGGTGAAAAATACCGGCTAACATCTCAGACGCGAACCAAAAGAAAAAAAAATACCTACCAGTATCTGAAGCATAAAAGGGATTTATTTTCACTGCTGCATCCAAGTATGACTAAACAATTTTGCAAAAGGCATAATAAATTTTTTATTAGCAACACCTACTTGACAAAGAGATACTGTCTCACAGCCTCTACCAAAAGAAATGCCAAAAGCTTTGCTCTTTAGAAAGTACAATGAACAAAGCAGTATACAGTTATTAGCATTTGCTTCACAAAACATTCTCAAGTACTGCACCAAACCACATCTGAAAAACAAAAGGCCTTGCTGGCCCACCCTGTATTAGCGGGGCAATCGGCCACTTTTATGGACTTGCTCAAGCTTTTTAAACTCCTTGCTTGTTCGCATACAGCAGAAATTCAACAGCGACCACATTGGAAAGCAAATGCAGTTTAAAATCAAATATTATTAGTTACCTAAACAGCTCAAAGCAGGTACCAGGAAGAAATCAGACTCTAAAAGACAATGCCCCAGGCGCAAGAACAAACCTGTTCTAAAACAACAGCCACGCAGCTGTATCCACGGTGCTATACATCTTGTATTTTTATATTGCACCTTACAAATAGCATTAAAATATTATTAATAGAAACAGAAACTCCAAGAAAATGTATAGGACTTAAATCATGATCTCTGCAAGTTTGAGATATGCTCTCTGAGGGGAGAAGCTATGCTAATGTAACTAAGAGACCCACAGTAACTCTTTAAGAAACTTCTTGTATCAGGGCAAGTAAAGTTTTTGGTATGATTTACAAGACTGTAGTTCTCTTATTTTAACCAGAGAGTCTCCGTACTTGTAGAAAACAGGAGGGAACAAGCAGATGCTGGCTAAAAGGCAAGGTGCAGCCAGTTGCCTTACCAGCACTACCCCGCGTAGAAGCCGCTCTCTTCTCTTACCGAGTTCAGGATTTAGTGGAAGTCAGCATCCCGTAATCCCAGATCTTCCAAACCGCATCTAAACTGCCTGCCGAGACACGCAAAACGAAGTCCCTGTCTCCCCACAGCCATCAAGAGATCCCTGTCCGACCTCCGTGGCTGTAATTCCTCTGAATGGAAATTCCCTCCAAATCTCCCGTGGCTCAGTTAACTCATGCCCAGCCAATACGTCTGAAGGCCGGCACAGGTATCTGCACAGGGCCAGCCGCTGGGAAGCCTCCCGTGTTAGACCGACATCAGCCCAGGCACAGATGTCCTTCTCAAGGTGCCAGAGGTCCCATTCCCACTGCTCGTCATTCAAAGTCAGCTCACATGTTGCTCTTGGTATTGGCACTAAAAGATGCTGACACCCGATTAGGCACTAATACCGTATAGTTTCTTTTAGCATCATGAACCCGTAACGTAAGAAAAAGAGGATGCAAATATTATACTAGGAGAGAAAAGCCATTTCATTAGCATTCACAAATTCCTTACCGTTTACTTACCAAATTCACCAATTAACAGCTATTAGAACCTCAAGATGACTCAGGTGAAGTGATCCTCTCCTGACAGATAAGAAAACTGCAGCATGCCAAACGCAGCAAAAGCCCGATCACAGGCAAAGTAGAAATTCCTCTGAGACCTCTTACTAACGTTATCCAGAAGCAACCTACAAATTTCTATATAAAATCGTTCATTAACTTAAGATCACAGAATCGAGAATCACAGCGTCGTTCAGGCGGGAAGGGACCTCAGGATGTCTCTAGTTCAACCTCCTGCTCAAAGCAGGATCAGTTATGGGATCAGACTGGGCTACTTAAGGCTTTCTCCACTCAGGGTGGACTTAAGGCTTCCTCCAGTCAAGGCCTCCAAGAAGTGTCCTGATCTAACTCACAGCTTGCCAGTCCACCTTTACATCCTAAAACTCTACCTGGGAAAACACAGACCTGTAGTTTAGGAAGCACTAGAGGATGAAACTAAAGAATTACTGACCAGTGAGCTCTATGTGAGTTCGATAATAAACGGATGTCTAAGGAATAAGGTGCCCACAACACGGCAGATCTAACCAACCTGCCTCCGCATAAGGGGAACTGGGCTTCTGAGACCTCTGAATTCAAATAGATAGAGAATCATTTAGGTTGCAAAAGACCTTTAAGATCATCGAGTCCAACCGTAAACCTAACACTGCCAAGTCCACCACTAACCCGTGTCCCTCAGGACCACATCTACACGTAAATGGATGCATCAATTAAATATTTCATGAAGGAGAGCCAAATGACCATTGATATTTTAGCTTTGTAGAAGTCTCTAAGTGTAGACAAACACCAACATAAATCAAAACTAGCTAAGTCCAAAAGAAGAAGAAAACTTGTTTCCTCGTGGCAGAATGCTAATTGTGGAATATTTTACTGTCCCAATTCGCTACGCTTCTGGGGGGAAGGTACAGATTTTGTTACAGACTATTTAGTTCTGAGGAAACCCAATAAAACGATGGAAACTACAAAGGGCTAAAACAGAACACATCGCAACGTAAGATGTTTCTATATCCGTAAGATCACAAGGTAAAATTTATCCTAAGATAAAATTTCTTTAAGATCAAAACTGTCAAGGAGTCGATTTCACCAGATTGATGAATTAATGCAGAAGTAACTTAAGAACACGCTACTGAGCCCAGAAAGTGCCGAACACAAGAGACCAAGACACAGCTGACCGCATCATCTAAGGTGCTGAGATAGGAAACGGTATTTTGAGGAGACCAGGCTACTTCGATCAACACGAACACGTGTCTGTCCTGTCCCCTCTGCCTCCCCCGAAGAGCGTACGAAGAATACGGCGTTATAACCCACCTACAACCTTTTGACTTTATTACACTAACCAGTCAACTGGTTTTCCAGGTGAGCGCTGAGCATTACCCTGGCACACAGCTCATTCCCACAAAGCGAGCAGACCTCATGATATCCCGTTAGCAGAGAACTGCACGTGACATGCAAGTGAGAAACCCCACAGCCCTTGTATACGATACGAAGTTTTGTAAGGATGACATGCCAAGAGATCTTAGAACAACACGGAGATTTCTGTCACTGCCAGAACCGGTAGCATGACATAGTGTAGATACAACATCTATACTATTGGGAGCAGTTGTGCACACAGAAGCTTTTGAGAGACGGGAGAAGACAGATGCCCCTGCCAGCTAAAAATTTAACAAAGGAGGTAACTTTGGCTGAGGAAGTACAAGTAATGTGAACTCCTGATCTGAAAAACAAGATTATCTCTACAGTTATGCCAGATAGCATTTGCATAGCAAAAGCTGGAAATGCTGAAGAATAGCTGCAGCTATATATAGGCTTTTATTCAAAAAAACCTGTCTTTTAGAGGAGAGGGAAGTTTCAGATGCTGACTGGAACATCAGCATAAATGATAATAGGAAGGAGGCAAAAAAACTTGGGGGGGGGGGGGGGAGAAAACCCAACCCTTAAAGAACCTATGGCAGAGGCATCTTAAGCTCAAGTAGAGTGCAAATAACAAGCTGGTCCAGGCATGGATCAACAACTGTGAAAAAGGCGAGGGGTGGATTTCCATAGCTGAAATTTCCATACCCGAGAGCGGTTTGCCACGGTAAGCGCTGGGAGCGTGCTGGCATACCATGAGGAGCTCGCAGTCGGCCCACCAGAGAACAAATGGCTTTAGTGAAGGACTTTTTACTTACACTATTAATGCCAGGTGACTGGTCTTGCTTTTGAAGGCAAAATCATTCATAGGGGATAGGTCCATTGAATACCAGTCTCGAAAATGTTTATTATGGGACGCACCGTATACAACAGCCAACAAGACGCTGTTGCATGTACAGCTTGGTAATTCTACAAAAAGATGAATTTGGACTCTGCTGGAAGAGAGCCAGAACGGCAGGAGGCAGGGCATGTCTCCAATGAAACTGGGTTTGTAGGTGCACTGTTCTCTAGATGCTTTTACTGACTTCGAACATGTTCATGGGACCTGATCCTCTATAGTCACTGGGAAATCGGGTTTTTATAGAGACAGAGTGGTAACGATGTCTTTTGACAAAACCATAGTTGTACCAGTAAAAGGAGGTTACAGTGATTGAAGAGAGACTTTTATAAGGGAGTTCTATCACTACAGCAGAATTCAAACCACAGATTGTCTCAAAAGCCCCTTCCCACTCCTCAAAAAAGGGCAGACACGTAGCAAACAGAAAATAAGGGTCCTGAGAAATACGCAAAAAAAAAAAAAATACTGGCAAAGTGCAGTGTTTACTGGTTGTGCCCAGAAACAAGAATCCTATCCTCTTGCATTCATCAGGACTGTGCATAAGAGACAGCAAATAGGTTTTCCTTTAAAGGAACCTATTCTGGTTAAGGGTATGATGTTGAGATTTATATAAACCACCTTCAAATTCCATTTTAAAATTAACCAAGGACTTGCTAGACAAGATTACTGCTCAATTGGCAGATTAAAAATTAATAACCATTTTCCTACTGTCTGCAGAGAATACTTTTTGGAGGTTAAATTAAAGAATGATCTTTTCCTTGTGTAGATACTCAGATTTTTGAAGAAACTTAGAAAACTCATACAGATTATTTTATTCTTCTGGGAGCTACAAATCTCCACCTAAAGAGAAATGATTTCAGGCACCAGTCTATGCCTCTGTCACGCATCTCTGAGCACTGCCACTGAAAAAGTCTGTTTGGAACAT